GATATGCCCTTAGGCATGACCATACATAACATAGAAATCACACTTGGAAAAGGCGAACAATTAGCTAAAGCAGCGAGTGCAATAGTGAAATTGATTTCAAAAGAGGGGAAATTGGCCACATTAAAATTACCTTCTGGAGAGGTCTGTTTGATATCCAAAAACTACTCAATAATAGTTGGACAAGTGGGGAATGTTGGGATGAACCAAAAGAGTTTGGGTAGAGTCAGATCTAAATGTTGGCTAGGTAAGCATTTTGTAGGAAGAGGAGTAATTATTAGAAAAGAAAAGAGGAGATTTTTTTTTTAAAATTATTCTCTCACATGTATATTATTTGTAAACTTTTTTTACAATTTATATATGCATAGATTGAAAAAATAAAGAAATATTACACAAATTACAAAGTAGAAAAAAAAAGTATGAGAAAAATAAGGTATGAATACATAAGAGTAATATTCTACTAAATCAATCATTATTTTATTGTCTTTAAATGCATAATCCATGAATCAATTTGCACAATTTTTGCCATTATTAATCTTCTCTTTTGATTTAGTGTATCAAGGCATTTATTAAAAAGACAAATGTTAATTTATAGTCAAGCTGTCCTAAACCTTCTTCTATTTGTACCACCTTTCCTTTTGCTTTAATAATTGTGAACCCTATAGACCATCCCATCAGGGTGGTGAAAGGAAGGCTCCAATTGGTAGAAAAAATCCAGCAGCCCCTTGGCCTGCAATTGGAAGAAGAAGTAGAAGACGGAACCCTTTCTTACTTTTATTAACTCATTATATTTATATGTTATGAATTTGAATTTGATATTTTTATTTTTATTAAAACCTCACTTGTATATTATATATGAGAAATCTTTATAATTTTTAGATATACAAATTAAAAAAATAAGGAAAGATTATGTAAATTATAAAGTGAGAAGAAAAAGTGTGATATAAATATAAGAGATTAATATTCTGATAAATCAATATTTTGTACTGCTGTATTTGAGTGCATCCTTCATGAATCAATGTGCACAATTTTTGTCATCTGTCGAACTCCACCATACGACTCATTGATTGGGTCGTGCTTTTCAACGAAGAGGTGATAGCATTCACTCTCGTTTAGAATCGAATCTTCAATTTTTAACAATTAACTAACTTAATTTATTAATTATTATATTTGTCAAAAAAAAAAAATTTGACATCTGTCAATCTTCCCCTTTGATTTAGAGTATCAAGGCATTTGTAAGTAGACAAATGTTAATTTATAGTCCCACTGTCCTTATGTCAAGGAAATAGATGTTTCTCTATTTGTACCACTTGTCTTTTTGCTTTAATAATTACGAACCCTGTAGACCATCCCATCGGGGTGGTGAAAGGAGGTCTCCAATTGGTAGGAAAAATCCCACAACCCTCTAGGTCTGCACTTGAAAGAAAAAGTTGAAGACGGAACCCTCTTTTATTTTTATTAACCCATTTTATTGATATATTATATAATATAAATTTAATATTTTTATTTTTAATAAAATATTATTATTATTAAATTATTTAAATCATTAATAATATTTTTT